CGAGTCCTATAGCAAAAACCGCTCAAAAAAAAAAAAAAAAAAGGAAGGAAGGAAGAAGTTAGGTCGCCCCTGACTGCAGGTGACAGGATCCGACGTAGAGAAAGTTCTGAAGACTACATCAAAAACCTGTTAGCTCTCTTGTCGTGTTCAAATTCTGTAAAATTTCAGGACACGAAGTCAACAAGCAAAATACGAAAATCATTTGTACTTCTATACACTAATAATAAGCGATCTCAAAATAAATTAAGGGATAAAACACCATTTATAGTAGAAGATGATGGGGCCGGCCAGGTGGGCCTCTAACGGTCCTCGCACCGGCAGGCCTCTCTGCACGCTGCTCCTAACCGACCCCGTGGCGCATGTTTCGAATGCCAGATTTCGTTTTCAGCCTTTTTTCTTGTGTCTTTTTTCTTTTCCCTTTAGTTTTCTCCCACTATTTAAAGAATCAACATCATTTATTTATTTATTTATTTATGTTATTCTCTGTGCTGTGCGTTTTATCGGCACACCATTTTCTTTCTTTTTTTTTTGAGAGATTTTCACTGTAGGGCGCGTGCGCTCGCCAGACAGACAGAGAGAGACATAGAGACAGAAAGCGAGAAATCACCCCCCAGGGGGATGGTCACGCCGCAATCCCTTCTCCTCCATTCTCCTCTTGGGATCTTGGGCACGCATGCACACGTGCCCGGCGTGAGTTTTAAGCCACCGGGTCCAGGACACGAACCGCGGTCGACTACGTGGGAGTCCAGCGACATAGCCGTTACGCTAACTGCTGGTTCCCCAGCACACCGTTTTCAACGCTGGAGATGCAAATTGAGTCAAGACTTTGAGAAAACTCTAGTTCGCTTTATGCCATTGTTTGCACATCCAGCTCCACAGAGGTGCCTCGCACAACGGCAACTCCGTGTGTCAGCGCCTGCACGGGGACACAGGCGTCGCTCCCGCTCGGCAGGCTCTGACCTGCTGACCTGCCTACGGAGGTCTACCAGGTGCCTGCGGTTGCTTGCTCTCACTGGCCAGAGTGGCATTTGTTTCACAACATTCGTTTTGTTATTGTGGTGAAATGTACAAACACAATTTACCAACATACACACAGGAAAACTATCCAACATGCACAAAACACATTATAGAGACCAGCAGGCAGCGTAATGGTTACGTAGCTGGTCTCCCACCTAGTCGTCGCAGTTCAAGTCCCAGACCTGGTGGCTTAAACTCAGCTGGGCATTAAATGCAGTGATGAGGCGATGACAAACAGGGGTAAACAAAACGATGATGAGGATGGCGTTGGTTCTAC